AAGGAGATTGGATGACAAATCACCTTCATGATATTTGTCGGATAGGAAGTGCTGGCAGCACAGTGTCTAACCAGCAGCCATCTTGGTCCCGTTTTAGGTATGAAGAGACATCATTAAAACATTCATAAAACGAAATCTGCGCAAATGCGTTATTTCAAAATCGTGTATAAAAGTGGTAGCCCTTTCCTCATGATGGAGTGTTCAAGTACTCCCTTCCGTCCAAGGTGAAATCTTCCTGACAGGTTGGGGTCTGATCGCAGACCGAATGGAGTGTGGACCCCACAAATGCAGAGTCAGAGAAATGGCGATGACAAAAAAGGTTTATTACAGGAAAGCGAGGGACCGACAAAGTATTCAACAAAAGGTGCTGGCAAAACAGGGAGCCAGAGAAATAAAACGAGAACACAAAGCTGATAGATTGATGATTTTTAGTTATCATGCATTCGCTTATTATAAATGTTGTTATTTTGATATTGATTGATTGATTGATTATGCTCGCAAAGAAGAAAGCTGATGCCTGCAATGATAAATTGATTATGCTTGCAAAGATGAACGCTTTAGTGAAAGAAGAGGGGGTGGTATTTTGAAGCGTCCATTTTTTAATTAAGTGAAGCGGGTATAAGTAGCGTGTTCGGCGTCGGCACAGGCCGCAAACAACGATGTACGGCAACTTCTTTCAAACAAACTTAATCGCAACGCGAAACGTAGTGTTGTTATTCTTTGAATTCCTCTGCATATAAGAGCTGTTTAAAACAACACATGAGAATCCACAAAGGAGGGAAACCTTTATCCTGCTTAGGTTTGAGTAAAAGAGTCTCTCAGAAGGATAAGGTCGAGAAACACGAGTGCTGGTGAGGAATGTGGTGATCAAGCTTTAAATGAAAATGTACATGTTTAACACAGAGTCCAGTATTTACCATAAAACAGGATCCCTCGTTTTTCATGGTTAAAGGGGACCATAAACGCCATGCGAAAGGTGAAAAGGGAGGATTTGCCTCACCTTAGGAATTTTTGTATATGTGGGGACCAGCATGTTTTAAATATGCAAACACTATTTATACTTTACATATTTGAGACCAAGATGACAACAGTGCACGTATTTACTGAAATATTTAACTATAAAACCTTCTACAGTAAATAACATTCATCAACACTGCTCATAAGAGATGCAAAGATGCTCGTGTTGGTGGCATAGAAGGCGGCTCTCACTTGACTCGTACAGTTCACTCAGAGACTCTTCTGCTGGAGACGCTGACGGTGTAGCTGAGCTTTTTAAATTGAAGAAAAACATGGTGATGTTATGGCGTTCATCTTGTCTTATTAGTTGAAATAAGTTGAAAGTTTCTTTTTTATTGGACAACAGTTTTTTTTTGAACGACCAATCATGTTAAACGTACAAGTTCATGTTGGTCTGAGTCACAAGAAATTTGAGATCTCAAGTCAAGTCATGTGTGCGTACACAAGCTGGATTTCTAAAGTTAGTTCAACACGAGAGCAGCATCTTCCAGCTTTATCGACGTGTGGACAATTTGAAATTGGCTTTGTTCATTTAGAATGGCCGTATGTTTGAAGGTCATCAGTGGCATTTTTGAACCACGCCCTAGGTGGTGTTTACCAAGGGCAGTAAAGAAAAAAAAAGTAAGAAAAAAATGCTCTCCACGCTGACTCGAATGATTCTGTTCGACAATGGATGGATAGACATTGGGTCGAAAAGACACCTGGCAGCCTTGATCAGTGCATGGGGCAAGCTCTGCATGCTGAAAGAGTGTTAGAAAAAAAAAGACAGAATGAATGAGCTGCTGC